AAATCATCAAAGAAAGGGAAATACAGTGTTCGAATAAAGGACATAATACATCGTGTAGCATAGCTCTCAACGAATGTAGTCCTATAAGTAAATGAAGAAAAAAATTGTGTAATAAATTGCCTCCGACAGGATTCGAACCTGCGACCTCTCGCTGTCAAGGCGAGCGTCATACCATTAGACCACAGAGGCTTCATGGTTCAACAGATTCAAATACTTATTTCATATATTGATAAGAATATATATAAAATACGTCAAACATTTCTTTGTTGTTTGTCTCTGACACACACTATTCCTTATAAAAATGTATACATACATAAGCCTAACAGTATATACGGGAGGTATACACATTTTGAACTGACTTTTCGGCATTTTGAAAAAAAAAATAAATAAAACTTCGTGCCGTAATCATAATGACAATAAGCAGGAGAAAAACAAATTGCTTTCAATTTAAGATGTATATAAATATTCGATATTAATTTAGAAAATGATGACTGGCCGGGCACATTCGTCTGTATTAAACTAAGTTGAATGTATTTTAATTATAATCTTTTGACATAATGCCCAAATTATATTCTAATGTTCTAAACCAATAGAGTATGAAAATCATAATATCTATTACGGCGAATGAGGAGGTATACAACTTAAATAATTATTGACTTTATCATCCTGGCACAATCTAATGCAGTATTTTTTTTTAAATTGATAAAAAATATTAAATAAACTGAGTATTCTTAAATTTTAAGTTGAATATTGTATAATATATTGTGAATAAATATAATTAAGTGCCTATATATAAATCTGTCACATGTATGCACAATATATATAAATTATATATTTTATTCATAAATTATATTTACAAAAATATCTACATTCATAAAATAAATACGGCTACATAAATTGGTATATTTTTAGGACACACGTTATCAATGTGTTTCACAAAAACTAAAAATAAAACTATTGGCTATTATGTAAGTGAGTCCGAGATTGTAAACATTTTCTATCCATGTGGACACCCTTGGGTTTACCTTTCTTAAGCTGTTGCATAATACGCATTCGACAATAATCTACCTATTTAATGTATCGTATTAGGTTATTTCAGGATGTTATTTTTCAAAAATCTTCACCCTTTAACGGAGAATTGCTCGGCTTCATTTGAATGTACTCTTCTCCTCCGCATCGCTTTATTCTCCTTGTACTGTCATCTGAAGAAATCCTAGTCACTGACGTCCCTTCGCGCTTGATAGTAGTTTTATAATCGTTCACCGGTGCTCGTTTAAAACATTTACAACTTAAGTACATTATGAAATATCTTCTGAAGTTCTTGCTCATCATACATAACGCAATGGGGTTAATTGTTGAATTCAAAGAACCCATTATAATTGCAATCATAAGCAAATGTGTATATGCCTTTTCGTTTTCAGCATATTCTTCTTCTGTTATAAACTCCGATTTCAAACTGTAGACTACGTACGGCAACCACAATATAGCGAAAAGTAACACAAGTACCATTATTATCAGTGCTAATCTCTTCCTGTCTTGCACTTGCCGGGATACTTGCCCGTCACCGGGCATCTGCATCGAACTTCGATACAAGATGAAAGCGATTCTAATGTAGAAAACACATAGCAAGAGTAAGGGGAGTACGTACATTAACAGCATGCGTATTGATTCGAAAATACGCGCCTCGTTTGTATTATGTTCGACATGGTGACAAGAGGAGGTTCCATTTGATTCTGGCACCAGATCGCTCAGAAAAATCATAGAAGAGGCGGCGGCTATGGAAACCATCCAGATAATAACGATAGTGACGGCTGTGCGGAATCGTGATGACTTGCGTTCCATGGGCTTAACGATCGCTTGATAGCGATCAACGCTCAGAGCCACTAGCGTAAAAATCGAGACGCCCATCGACATTACCTGGGTGAAATTCACAAAAATACATGTAGCATGGCCTAGAGTGAAATCCCCATTATTTATATCATATATTGTATTTACTATCACCGATACAGTAAGCATGAACAAATCCCCGAATGCCATATTGCAAATAAGCGCGTTCGGAATTGTACGCATTGACGCATTTGAGAGCACAACGACCATCAGTAACGCGTTTCCAATGATACCTGTTATGCCAACAAACAGATTGAAGGCCAATAATGTTATGGCGGATGGCTCCATGTCTGGGTCGGCATCCACTATAAATATTCTGAAATGAAAAATGATTAACTTTGTAATTTAGCATAAGATTTATTCATTTTTTTTGTAAAATATAGGCCTAATATATATTATATATAGGCCTATATATATATATATATATATATATATAAATCATTAAAGAAAGGTAAATACACTGTTCGAATAAAGGCTGTCTCTTATACACATCTAGATGTGTATAAGAGACAGATATTAACCTAGCACAAAATAATTCCTTAATCGCATTCAGTCGATATAAAGCCTATCGATTGTGCTTTTTTTTTTATTTGTTTGTATTATTTTTATTTTTAGTATTATTGTTATTATTATTGTTGTTGTTATTATTATGAATAATAATACTATTGTTATTACTAATATTATACTTATTCGATACTTTAACACGACACTCATTAGTTATGTTTCCATTGTGCGTTAAATTACTGCGTGCCTGGGATCATTAGGTGTTTCTATTTTTCAGGTTTGGTCTCATGCATATAATGGTAGCAAATTTGAAGGATATGACGATGAATGTTATAATCAATGCTGGTCTTAAAGATATTGTCCCCAACCCTACATCTCCATTCTTACGTAAGATGAACGTGTTGTACATTATGCATATTTTTATTAGATCTTTAACAATTTGTCTATGAAGACAAAATCAATCATGATGATTATGAACGCAGGCTCCAAGAAGGGGCTTATGTTCGGCCATCATACATTTTCCTCCCGGCAGTGTCATGGTTCGGCTGAACCCCTTTTCTCGAGAGCGACTCCCGCCCCCTCTGATATACTTGGTATCAAAATCCATCCAAAAATGATTGTATTCACACATGGCCTACATACTAGAATGCTTCAGCTCAAGGGGCTTTGCTTCTGACCCCACCACCACCATCACAAAAGATTTTTCTTGGACATCACTATGGTGTCAAACGAAATTTAGACCCCCGAATCTCAATGGAAACCCGTCCCATGACGATGATAAAAATCATATAAAATAATTTTGAAATTAACTTGTTCATTCTGTAGTAACATACATCTTGAGCATAGACATTATTGAATTAAAAAAATGTGTACCCTGATTTTTATACTAGGCCTAGATAATGATAAAAGAAATAATAAAACACTTCCAGTGACACGTGTTTCTTTCATTCGCTGTAAACTTATGGGTAAACATTTCTTAAATGCACTAATTTCTATGTTCAAGAGTGGCGGATCCAGCGGGAGGGGGGAATGAGGGCCCGTGCACTCCCTCCCCCCGTTAGTCAAGCCGAAAAATAAAAAAGAGGGAGAAAAATTTTAGTTAAAGAGGGGAAAAAAGGAGTGCACCCATGAGTCCAATGGCGATCCAGCAGTGGGCGAAAGGAAAGCTCGATTATTTACCACTTATTTACAATAACCATGGTGAGGCTGAGGTGGGCGTGCCGACGTGAATTTCATTCTGTGCACCCCCCCCCTCCCCACACCGTCAGAAATTCTCTGGATCCGCCCCTGTCAAGTTAATAATCTTCATGCTCAGAATGAGCAAATTAATTTCAAAAATGTTTCTTATGATTTTGGGGTATTTTACAATTAATACATCTTTAAGAACTTTTGATTCCTAGAGTAAGGGCATGGAATGAGTGATTCTGATGATTCATTAATTATTTTTATCGGAACTACTGTATTCGAGTATCTCCGATATATCAGAATTTTGCAGATTTTCATCAGCTGTAGAAACTTCCTAGAAAGTCTTAGCTAATCATTTTTAATTGTTTGATTATAGATCCTAATGACACCGCATTGATAAAAAGTTGGCGGGCTGTGCGGCCTTATTTACTAGTCTGTCGACTTCAGTACTCGTTCATCGCTGCGGGAACAGTGGTTATCATGTGGTATGTTGTTGGCAAGCCTCTCCAGAATCAGGTTAAGAATATTC